GGTTGAATATCTTCGTTAACTGTACCTGTCATCTAGAGATTTTAACAAGTTATTTTCTTTGTTTGTTTTAATACATCATTATGTTTATGAGTTGCATAACCTATTCGGATACGTTTATGAAACGTTCACGATCTTTCACTGTACATGTTATAAAAGAGCGCAATCTCAGACATCGTGGTTACTGGCAATAAACATTCAAAAGCATGAACATCATTCAGATTTCAATTCCTGGACTGTTACCATGTAACTGGCGATCACTCAATATGTTATCGTCAGAATTGATCAAAATATAATATGGAATACAGCCATTAATAATAATGATAATCCACTTGAGCAACACATTTTCTCCTCTATTTCAATTGATTATTCTGAATGTTTACAAGACTTCAAGTGTAAGTGGGATGTCGAGGTTTTCAGAATCACATCGACCACCATTATTAGCTGCATACAGCTTGAAATCTTGAAACCTTGAAATTTCTAACTTGGATCATAATATACCTCCCATCGATCACAATATGATTTGATCAGAATTCCATTGGTCGTAAGGACTACAATAATACACTATACCACATTAAACGATCAGTTAATATCTGATAATATATTTTTCGAATTAATTAAAATTCCCTATCACTGAAAACTAATAATCCTGTAATTCTGGGGTGATTGTACATGCAAGCAGTTAAAATCCAGGTTTAAATCATGGTTTAAAGTTGATCGATTCATGATTTTGATGGTATTTAACAGTCTTTACAACCCGCTACTGAAAATCATCATGTACTCACTAGTGATTAGCTTCGAGAGAAAATTTCAAGACTTCTAGTGAGAGGTTGGAACCAGTGCAGTTCAGTCGTGTCAGGTGTGAGACGGCTACTCACTAAAGGTTATGGAAGAGGTTCGCGCTTCGTTGTGGGCTGATTGAAGGTGTTCATTAAGGTCGTTGGATTGTGAGTTAGTGGTCTTGATGTGAGGCATTCTGTTACGAGACTGAAGATTATGGGCTCGATTCTAGCGTTCGATATGGTGGATGTGTACAGCTGAGGAGTTTCATACTAGGTTGAAATGACCGTCCAGTGATTGGAGGTGTTCAATTTTGACCTAACATCGACCGGTTTATGACTTCAACGAAGTTAGAGCTTTTTCAGGCTTTATATATTAATGTTGATATACAGGTATACCATGCTAACGAGTGCCAAGTAGCACAAAACCTAGGTCCAAGGTTTTCTGTTGACTACCTTCAACCACCACCTTAGGTTAAAACCTTTCCATTGTTTACTTTTACACGTGAATTCATTAATTGATTAGCTGTTTTGATCCAGTGTGAAATTCATTACTAGGACTAACTTATCACTCTATTAGGGTTCGGACTGATGGTTTTTATACTAAGAATAACTGAGTTGACTTCGGATTGTTTATGGATAATTTCTTATTTATTACCGATCGTTAGTAGATGCTAATTTCAAGTTTAGCTAATGTTCACAAACGTTTTGTTCAATTCTATAGATTATGAGTTTTATCTTTAGTTAAGTTGACAAGATCCAAGGTACACTGAAGTACATATCTACTACTTTTTAATTTACATCAGCTTATCCAATTAAACAAACAAAATTAACTTTTAAACATTATAAATAATAGATTATATCAAGTATTGAATTAGTTGATGTTAGATGTTGACACCGTTGGATGCCAGGTCATTAGTCTAGAGGGTAAGCATTCACGCGCCAGACTTAAGACACCGTGTTCGAATCCTGCTAGCGGGATCGTGGATACACGTTGCTGGGGAGTTCCAAATGGGATGAAACGGCTGTTCAATGCTTCCAGGTTTTCAATGGTCGTCTAACATCAATCAGTTGATGATCTCAATCAAAAATTTATTAATCTTCACAACCTTATACTGTTAATTAACATGTGCTCTCTAGTGACTAGCGTCGTGAGGGGATACTCGGAGTTCTAGTGAAAAACTGTGACCAATGGAACTTGTCTGTGTCGGATAGAGACATGTATCTATCTCCGTACAATAGAACATGGTCGCGCAATTTCACGGATTGGTTGAGGCCAAACATTACACCATAGGATGCCAACTCAGTGGTTTATTAGGTTAATCATTTGCGCGGGAGACTGAATGCCTCGAGTTTGAATCCCGTGTGCAGGGTTGTGGATGCGCACTTCTGAAGAGTCACACTCAGACAAAATGACCGTCCAGTGTTCTCAGGTTTTCAATAGTGATCTAACATCGATCGATTCGTGGTCTCAATGAAAAACATTTAAAATCAAATGATTAATTCAGAACAAATATTTAAAGAATATTGTGCTTACCGTAAGAAATAAAAGCTCTCAGTTCCAATAGTTTGCAATGCTTTGCACTGTTGATGATATTCACTACAAAGAAGAAATAACTGTCTAATGGTTATTAGTTCTTAGTACACTATGCACTATAATTTCACATTATACAAATCACCGTGAATTCCGGTTCATGGTAATCCAACGCATTAAGACTTCCATAGGTAAATATAATTCATCAGTTTTCCTTGAACAATATATAAACATGTCATCATGTTAATCGAGTACTGTCATTTTAGTATTTCATCATTCTCTTGTGGTGTATGCTACTTATATTGACAGTTATAAGTAGTATGTAACGCCGATCAGAAGTGGAATATTTTTCAATAGAAGGTTAAGAAGATTGAACTGAAGAGAATTTGAATGTAAACAGAATTGGAATTAAAACTTGGAAGAATCATAAAGAATGTGAAAGACAATTGATGTCAGATTGATAATTAAAGTCTTTAATGTAAAGTTGTTATATTTTGTCAAAGAACTCTGTCAGTGTACTTGCTCATCCACATCACTATGAATTTGTAATTAAACCCTTCAAAAATGACGATCTATTCAGTACAAGTAGTAGCATTCACTTATAGTTGTGTAGTTGTTTATCAATACTGACTGATTGAACATCCCATATGTAATTCATACACCGGTTTATCGCACAATCTGATTACATTATCGTCTGTTTTGTTTACTTTTTTGTAATTTTCTGTTCATTTGGTTCAGATTGTTGTAGGTTGTTTCGAAGACAAAAAAACAAGGGTTTTGATTACCCTGGATTATTATTGTATTATATATATTTTGCTACACTTATCTCCATCTTTTGTTACATCGATTGTTGTTTTGAACATTGCCAATACTACTACACAGCGTAGACTCTTTAGGACTGTTTGCTACGTCGACAAATGACGAAACCTATTTTATTCAGCTTTCAAAGACTTAGATTACCATGGAATAACACCCCTCCATTTATAAATTATTGCTTCAAATACTCGATGGTTCCTGATTATCTTGACTATTCATATGCGCAACACAATTTCCTCTCGATTGAATCCCGCATAAATAAGTCTGATCATCTGCGATAATTCTGCAACATTCATCTCTTATATCACACAATAATACATGCGAAAACATAATCTGGAAATACAATCGTGCAAATTCAGGAGTCGATGTTGTCAAGAAGATAAGTTTCTTCGTGAAACATCTTCATTAGTTTTATTGACAATTAGTGATATTCAATGATACAGCGAAGCACGATTTCAGTTCCATAATGATTATCATTGATTGCTTGTTAGTTTATCTATTTGTATTTCGCTTTCTTTACTTCGATCAAGCGGGCATTCATGTTTCACTTCTCTACTTCATTTGAGACCACAATGTGTTTGGTAAGTAAAAGATATTGTTGGACGAATTTGGAAGATAACATTGTTTGTAAAGGAACACATTATTCTCGATGAACAGTCTTAACTTGTTTTGAACACATCATGTACTTCTAACGTCAGAGACAAGTATCTATCTCAGACATTGGTGAGTGGTTGCATATCCTCGTGGATTTGTTGAAATCACACACTGACATTATTGAATGCCAAGTAGGTGGTCTAGAGGTTAAGCATTGGCGCGCCAGACCAAAGATCCTGTGTTTGAATCCCGCGTGCGGGATTGTGGATGCGCACTGCCGAAAAGTTTCTCACTAAGACGAAACAGTTGTTCAGTGCCTCCAGGTTTTCAATAATAGTCTAATATTCATCAAATAATATTCTCGATTGAAATAAAATTCAAATGTTAGTGCCTTTTTGACATCCAATGGAATCAGTTTGTGCCACTTTGATCTTAACCAATCAAGTCACATTAATGCGTCATTGACAGCCCATTAACAGATTATTACACGTAACAAAGTGTTTGTTCGTGAACATATGAGCATACATTTTGAACTACAAATAAACCAATCACTTATTTTAAAGTATTGCCAATCATATCCAAAAGCATTTTCATCAACGGAGGTCAGGAATTTCAACCAATGGTGGATAAATATCTGCCTATGTCCTCGATAGCTACAAAGATATTGGATAATAATGGGTTCATCTACCGAAATGATTGGTTAACAATGAAGAGATGATTTTATGAAATTAGATCTTTGCAATGGTTACTTTGAATCATAGAATCAGAAAGAAACAAACATACACCTGAAAAATCTATATAAACCTAACAAGTTCTGGTAAGATTGTTATACTATATTGAACCGAAAGATGAGGTGAGTGTTGATTGAACGCACGAAGTTATCGTATGTACTATATGAATGTCGGTCTGATTCAACGAGATAACATTGTTTTCTTCATATCAACCATTTCAGATATACTTCTCTATCTGGTCTGATGATACCGGTTTATTTGGTCGTAATCGTGCTTTCCAAATTCTTCGACTGTCAGGATATCTGCAAAAACCCTGAATTAGCGACATATGAAAATGTGACTTCAGAAAACGGTTCATATAAATATGTAAGTATACAGTCAGATTCTAATGCACATACACAGTCTCAGCATTATCACTACTCACGAACAATACGTCACAATCAGAAGTATCCAGTTGTTAGTGACAATTTTAAAAAATATAATACTGATCAGGTGAGTTGACTACATTTTGTAATGAAACTACTAATTCTTATGTTTGAATCTTTTAAGGATGTTAGACCGAAATTTCCGTTTAAATATTACGGTATTAACGTCTCTAAATTTGAGATTTTCCGTCATGGTAAGATAATTGTTTTCTTTCACTTAAAATTGTTATTGAGTTTTGTTCATCACAATTCATTCCATGAATCAAGTTTGCTAGAATTTCTTCAATGAATCAGTTTTATGCGTTTTCTGACATTCAAAACGTTTGATAGATTCCTTTCCTTCTTGTTGAACTCATCGAACGTTCGATGTCTTACAGCAAACTAAGCACAGTTCATGAAATTCATTTTTGTCCCCGGTTCATTTCAAACTATTTCATTCATCCATTATAGAATTTCAATTAAATTGTATGTTTTCATTACATATAGGCTATATAAGAGTATTCGGAGAAGGAAACATCGGAAAAATATATAATAGTCTTCACGTGGGTCCTTATGGTGAATATGATGTGGTAGATAACAGTGAGCTTTTCTATTATCCCATAATGTTTTCTTTTGTTTGTTCTCACACACTTGTTGTGCATAAATGGTTCTGTATTCAGCTTGATTATTACACGAATGCTGACCAGTTCACAGTGATTATATTGTTTCTGTGATTTGGTACCACAACCTGTGTTCACAGCACGTATTCATTACTGTCAAGTTAAAATATCAAATAAACACAGCGATTCACTACAAAATAAACACAAATCGATTCAGTAGAAATTATAAACCAAGCGATGTGGTTGCTGAGTGAAAATGAACTGTTGTCCAGTCTATTTAAACAACAATGCGAAAGATGTCTCACCGACACGGTTCGTCTTTCTAGATTAAATGAATCAAATTGATCGCATGTGCAACACTAAGCAATGTTGTTCAACAGGTCAGTTTGAGTCATTAACTTTATGAACTGTCAAATTATACTTGACGTCTTCCAACTCTTTTCTGACACTTAGTTGATTCATGAAAGTTAAATATCTCTTAGTCGCTATCTGTGGACCATTGGATGTTTAACACTTTTTCGATTATCCTGCTTATAAAATAATGACATTAAAACCCACGCCCTTTCATACACAATCAATCAACGAACGACAATTGTTCATTCAAATGTACCAGTTCACTTAAATCTCGGGAGGAAGGAAGGAAGGAAGGAAGGAAGGTGATAACTCGTTTGCCAATACATTTTTGTTAGAATGTATATTTATTAAAAGAGGTAGATATTCATTATGCAAATATATAAATATCTTTTCGATTTTCATTTTCTTCAGATGATTTCATTGCTGTCAAATGGTATTATGAGATGTGGTTTTCCGGTACAAGTAAGCGAACATTGAATGATCATTTGATATCATATGAAATCTTAACACTTAAAACTACTCATTGTGTTTGCTCACACCTGCCTGTTCAGTTTGTGTAATCCAATTTTTCCCAATGGCTGACAGAAGTAGGAATACATAACGCTTCTGCAAAATGAGGGTGGACTTGTACGTGGAATCCATTGATCAATTAATCACAACGATTAGGACTCGAAGAACAGTTAACATAGACTGAAAGAGAATAGACTTGACAAGTAGTAAATGGATGAATGAAGTTACAATGCCATCTCACATGGGGAAACACTGATGCACAGATTCATCATCGTTGACTGGCTTCAATGGAACTTGATGTGAAGTCTGTTTATTGTAACAAATAAATTGTGTTATATGTTCGTCCCAAAGCCATTTTCTGCACGGACTACATTCGTCGACACAGTCATTCCTAAATATTACCCGATGAAATCAGTAAATCCTTGGGACAATATGTCTGAAACTATTCACTTCACATCTTCAACAAATAAATCGGTGTTCTTTGTAAACGCTATGGTCGGAGTCAGTTGACTGATCGATTTGCCAGTGTGGTTAATGAGTAATCAAATTCTCAAGTTCCATTTGTGAACAAACACTCCACAACACAAGTCATGTGTTCTTAGTGTCGATTGATTTGGGAGTAATGATAGAAAATATTACGCAGAATTGTATACTTCTCGGGTTCCGAAGACTAAACAGCTGACATTCATTCTGAATAAATTGTGTTCGTATGTTTTGCATGAGGTGCACTTTATATTCTTCATAACGACTTCAACGAAGGAAAACATTTGAGATAACACGGTATATGTTTGCTTAAATTGGATATTTTTTGTAAGTAGGCATATACACTGTCACACCTAACAGTAACAAGCTCATCATCATTCCCTAAGAATTCTAAATATCAATATTCTTTTGTTTGCAGAATATATAATGAAGATAACTATTGTGATACATTCCGGTGGGAAGATATCCCTCTATTATGAGGATGTAAGTTGTACAATTGAATGGAAATAAAATTTTGTTTCAAGTACTATAGCTTAATCCATTCTTTCTTGCGTATCAATAGCGTCAAATGTATCAAGATACATTGAATACGACAGAAAGAGATCAACTTTTGTAATGTGCGAACGGACTATTATTATTCATTTAATGACATACACTTTAATGTACCACTTGCTAAAAACAGTGATTAATTAGAAGTGGAGAGTCATCAGAAGAAACGACGATGTCTTCGCGACAGGTAGGAATAAACCGTGTACTTTAGAGTACAGCACGAAGACAGTCATACTATGACAAGATTTATGTCGTATTCTGGAGATAAACTGTTCGGAAAGTACATTGCAGAATATTCTGAGGGATTTAGTGTTTAAACTGTTGATCGTTTCACAGTGTGTATATTTTTGAATGCCAGTGTTTGATACTTCCAGTACTTCTTTTCAGATCCCCACAGGACACAAGGAAATTCCACAGAGCTCTACTATAGAAGGTTTAATTCAGTGTGGAGGTAACAATTATTGCTGGTATTTTGATTTAGAGTAACCATGTCGACAGTCTTCTGTTAACGTAATATTACATTCCATTCGTACACGGTCATCTGCATGTCAACATGGTAAACTGCCGTTTTCGCTCATAGTGATCATGTATAACTGTATTACAGTCTACAATGATTAGTTGATTTGAATGTAGGACAAATCGGTCGAAGTGCAATTAAAGTGTCAAGGATAATCGTGAGGGATATAGTCGAAATACTTTTCGTAAAATCACTGTCCAAAAATTACTGTATACTGGATATTCAACGTCAATTATATGTTGACAATACTTGAATGGAATTTTTGTAGTTACACCCGATAAAGAATCTTAGTGAAACCCAATAATGAAAATGTCTAATGTCTTTGGAACAATGGAACACTGTATTGAAATCAAAGTGCATGTGTATTCAATTCAACAACGGTCATCCTTATCACTGTAACAAATTCGATTTGAGTTGTTGTGATGAACTTGTAATGGTTCTGTTTCAGTCTTTTGTGATAAATCACACAGACAATGAATTTCGTGATCCACATTTTCTGACGTTTTCTTAACCCAATATTCCGAGTGATAGAACCATGATGTGTGACTATCATTACAGTAAAATTATGGATAGCTATTGGAGAATGCTTACAAATACATTTAACGACGGACTGATCCGGACAGGGTTATATGAACGACAATATTTGACAGACCATATATCTACTGATTTATTCACTTGCTCACTCACCCGCTCATTCACTCACAGACCAAACAGTCCCACTTGTAGTCCTCACTCATATCACTACCCAAACAGAAACAAAAGAGTGATGCTTGTAACTGATAGTTGGTTTATGCAATGCTCAATCTTCATGCCATACTGAAGTGATCATGTGTTGTCTTAAGATCAAGCTGAGTTTCAAGATAAGCATTTAGTGAAAGCGATTCGGTGGGATACAGTGTTTTGTCATTAAATGTGAGACAATACACTAAATATTTGGTCAAACGGTATACATTGATCGGTTGAAATATGTTACTTGGTCTTTTTAACAGTAAATCTCAATGTTGACTATGTGTAATTTGAAAAGGTCTAAAGAATTGTACCGAGTTGAACATGTTTCTTGAAGATGTTGCACTGAGAATGTTTTGAAATCAATCAGAAATTCAATATTATCATTTTTCTTTTACTAGCTGAACACTGGCTGCTTTCCATATCAGTAATGATGTAGAGCATGTTTTGTGAGGATTTTGTATGAAATACACTCTATCTGTAATCAGAAATGTTTAAGTCTTAATTTTACGGTACATGAAATGATGAAACGAATTGTTATTTAATTAACGAGAAATCACAATTTTAAGTGCTTTTTAAAAATGTATTTCAGATGTGAGAAAAGTTGAAATAGTAACTCCTGGAGAATGGATAACAAGTGACACGTTAGTGGAGATTGAACCTATCGGAGGTAGGTTAAACCTTATTTAATCAGCATTGAATATATTTCCGCTCTTGAATATATCACTTCTGTTTCATCATATCATAAATTCCAAGTGTAATTTTATTTAGCCATTTCACGATATCCAGTATTGTTTCTCTGTTGACGCTTCCCTTGCTATTAATAATTACACGTCGATGTGCTGTTGGATATTCAACATGATAAAGGACTCAACTTGAACTACTACAGAAGTCTTTACTTTCTTCAAATTTACAGATGTGAGAGAACCTGAAATAACAACTCCTGCAGAATTGATGACAAGTGACACGTCAGTGAATCTTAAACCAATCGAAGGTAGGTTAAACCTTATTTAATCAGCATTGAATATATTTCCGCTCTTGAATATATCACTTCTGTTTCATCATATCATAAATTCCAAGTGTAATTTTATTTAGCCATTTCACGATATCCAGTATTGTTTCTCTGTTGACGCTTCCCTTGCTATTAATAATTACACGTCGATTTGCTGTTGGATATTCCAAATGATTAAGGACTCAACTTGACTTACTACAGAAGTCTTTACTTTCACCAAATTTACATAGAAATCACTCCACAAAACGATGGATGAGATGATTTAATGCTCGAAAACGTTTATCGTCTGTTGACAGATTGTGTATTATCGAGGAGGTGTTCGTTAGTTTTTCATTCAGTATATACGATATCCAATTTATCTGAGTTATTGAAATCACTGAAACACTACATGTGATTGTGATCACGTTTAATATATTCGTTTCATTTCTAAAATCTCTGCTTTCTCATGATTGTTCGATAAATCGAAGGTGTAGACAAGTCACGCGTTCAAATGCCAATTTATCATATATATATGTACAGTAACAAAATTACCGACGATTTACACAATATAAGACTGTTTCCTTTCTCATGAATATGTAAAGTGAGTGTCTACAGACACTTTTCAGTTCACCATGTGTTAGACTATTGAAATAACGTTTCGACTACTGGAAGAATCACTCGATACATTAGTGTTCGGATCGCCTTCAGTATTTGTCGATCAAAATATTATTTTGACCAATCTGATGAGTCTGATGTGCTAACTGACCTTAAACAGACTAGAACGTGGCCACATATTTTGAAACCTTCCGTCACATAATAGGTTAAAGAAAATGTTTTTGTGGAAGCCACAATGATGATTTGAAAAACAAAGTCCCTCTTCCTTTGTCTTTCCATTGAATCAACAACATTGAAAATCAGTTTTCGGCCTGAGAACAGCTGACCTTCATGCACCGATTTCGAAATAGTCAGTGGCAGTGAGCTCACGAATTGATTGTGCACTTCACACATGCAGAAACGGTATACAAGATATAGATTGATGATAAAACTGATATCCGTTACACGTTTTGTTATTCACGTATCTTTTGTTTGATAATTTGAAATGCCGTCTCCCTAATTTTTTTCACAGTAAGTTGCTCAAAACACGATTCCATTGAAAAATGCCAAAATACGACAACATCAAGTGTGAAATGTATCTGGTATGCAAAAGCTAATGTGTGCATTAAGAGCGATTATAATGATGTTAAAGTAAGTAATTGTTAAAATTCATAGATTGTTTACAGCATTGCTATATTCCACATTGTACATCCAATTACTCGGAAGAAAATTTTATTACTACGAATACGTTTTGATTTCATGGTAACAACAAACAATGAACAGAAACGTTGTTTAACACAAATGCATGGAGTCATAATAATTTTTGAGCTCACTGAGCTTAAAGTGACTTCAGAAATCCAATATGAAAGCGTATGTCAATGTGAATTGCCATGAATCACCGATGAAATCGGTCTGAATGATGAAACGTATTCCGTTAGAAATTGTATATTATGTTTGCATAATTATTCAAAGTTAGTAGACTCCACTTGTTAAAGCGCAGAACAAAGGAATCACTGAAATTCACACTGAAGAAAAATTTCGGAAAAATACTGCAAAAACTGAACCTTGTTCGGTGAATACTTGATATTTAGTATTGATGCTACTGTTTCGTTTCTCTTTCAGAACACCACTTCAGGAATAACTGTACACAGTAAACATAACAACACACCTCGTCACTTGTATATCGTGATACCAGTAGTCGTCGTGTCTTTCTGTGTCATATGCATCGGTTGTGCTATTTGGATGTATAAGAGAAAGAAGAGTAATCCATGAATTACAGAAACGTCTTATCGTTTGCTTTTATTATTTTGATCGAGTTGTTTTATTCTGTATTTCATCCGAAAACTTCTTTACATTCTGTTAACCGTTTCAATTATTTGAACAAGTTTTATACCATTTTCTGTTTGTTAACGTATCGACTGAACTAATTCTGTTGATTAAATAACTGAAATATTTACGTGGATTGTTTTTTCATTGAATAAAAGCTGAATTATATTAGAAGAGTTTTACAGTATTCAGTTTAGAAATGAGCAGTATTCTGTATATGTGATTATGTGATCATTGCAATCAATAATGAATCCGTTGTGAATGTTCAGTTTGATGTAGTCTCACCACAGGAAAATATTATTTGAAAGTTAAAACGGTCATTGTTATAAACTGATCGGTCAAAATACCATACTAGTTGAGCGTATACTCAAGTAAGACTGAAGAACAGTGTGGATTGAATAAAGTAGTAACAGTCCGACCGTAGCATTGCCAAGATGACAGATTTGAGAAAGAAGAACACTACGGTGTTTTTCTACCAGTTGATGATCACTTCATTATACACTATTTATTTAATAATTATTCGCGCTCACACGTAATTATGAGAAAGGATATTGCAAATATTCATTTGTATTGTTTGGTTGAGTCTTCCTGTTGATGTTTAGGACTGCAATCACACGGTATGGCTCAACCTTGCAGAAGTGGTTATTCTGTATAACTTGTCTTTAATCATAGTAATTATATTATTCTATATTTAGCCTAAATGTGTTCTTTACAAGCGCCAAACATTAGATCGTGCATTGTTACTATACGACTAGTTAGAGTAGACAATGATGTGACTCCATGTAAGATCATATAGATTAGGCAGTCACATCATGACATATCCACAATTTTAGGATTCAGTCCATTATTGCAATGTTATCAATAACAAATTAGATCATAATTCCACACACTGTGTAACTTAATTGAACAAACCACATGTCACTGTCACATTACACGTTCAGCATAACCCAAATGTGACTGATAGACTAGATTGAATACAAGAAATCAATCTATTCCACGGTTGAACATACAATTACCTAATACGTCGTATGCAAGTGGTTATGACATTTTTCTCCACCTTTTCAATTATGTACAACAACGACTATTAGGCTATACATCGTTTACTGCCTAACAACATTGAGCAAATATTTATCCAACATATGAGTCTCATTGATATGAACATTCCAATCCCTCAAAGGAAATCCATTGTTCTTCTTACGTTGTGTGGTAGGTTTAACTAATTAAACGTAGACCTCATACAGACAAAATAGGATAATCAGTAGGATAAAAGATAAAACGGTAAGGAACTGAAATTCGAAAACAAAAATGAAATAACGATGAGTTTTCTGAGTGACAACTTAAGGAAGATGGGCAAATTGTGTATTTAGTGTATTGTTTACAAATAATGAAATTAGATCGTCATCAGGCTTTCCTCTAATATACATGAATATTTATACGAAAACGTAAACCAATCAAGGCAATATGGGTCAATCATCACAATGAAATAGAATAAGTCACTACACATAATTGGTAAAAGTACAAGTTGATAGTAGTAGGATGACAGGTGAACTGATAGTGGTAAGAATAATAAAATACAATAACAAAACTATTATCAATAGTTAATCTTTGGCGATAGAAGGTCAAATAAACGTGGGTAAATAGACTAGGAATAGTCAACACCAAAACATTAAAATCATTACGTAATAAGATGTGTGTAACTAATTAGATAGTGAAGAATACAAAGAGGCGGATAATTACAAACAAATAATGGATGTAGAAATAAGGTTAACGATAACACAAATAGAATAAAATAAATAATGATAATAATAAAATTTAAAATAAAAAAATTGTTAGTTAACTTATAACTGGCCATGGAAGGCATGGGGGGTCACGTATTTCTTCTGTACACATAAATTTTGGTTGTATTTACGGATTCCAATGACTTCAGCTATATATAGGAGACGGGAACGGACTCCGTCGGGAAATGATGGAGGTATACGATAGATAACTCGAAATCATTTCGATTTATCTAAAGCATGACCGGTATCAATAAAATGTGCCAATATAGAACGGCGAATAGATTTTCTCTGACCCTTTATGTACCAAGTTGGTAGATGTTCACTCATTCGTTGGTTAAGTTGCCTGGTAGTACGCCCTATATAGCTCTCTCCACAGGAGCAGCTGATTTTGTAAATGCACATGGAAGAGGCCAACTCAGGTAACTTATCCTTCGTTTGAGTAGACATCGCTGGCCAACAAGAGAAGGTCAACGCAAGATTGGCTGCGTACAATGTACTGGTGATTACTTTGGTTAACCTATAATTCAGAGTGTCACTAGCCACATCCCCGTTGAATTGCACTTTCATGTATAAAGGTTTCTTACGAACAGTTGAAATCTCCGACTCCTTTATTATATCATGCATGTGCTTCTTAATGAACGTGCTGGGGTAGCCGATCTTGGTCAGTGAGTTGTTGATGAATTCAAGCTCCTGACCTAGAGTGTCTACTGTACAGATCTTTTTTGTTCTGCTAGTGAGACATCTGACCGAATTTCTCTTGTAACGGATGAGTGTGAAACTGCAGAAGTGAGTATATTGGCATGAAGAGGGGTTTCTCCCATACACGCTTCTACTTAGTGTGCCGTCACTTCGTCTGCTTAGTGTGACGTCAAGGAAGTTCAGTTTATTATCATGCTCGCTGGGTAAACACTGTTGAATTGGTCTAGGAGTTCCTCTTTACTAGTGTTTTGATCCACGATGATGAAGGTGTCGTCAATGTATCGGCAATATAAATCAAGTTTCTTAATAGTCTCATTGAGAGGTCCATTTTCCAGCTTTGCTAGGAAGAGATCAGCTAAAATTGGGCCTAGAAGCGAGCCCATGTCTATCCCGTCTATTTGTCTATAGTAAGTATTGTTGAAGACAAAATGTACATTCAGAGTGAATCTTAGGAGCCGTTCCCCTAGGCTATCGTTAGGCAAGTCAATGTTGACTTGGTTTTCTGATATTTGCTTGCATATAAACTTAATAGTCTCTATAAGTGGTACGTTGGTGAACAAAGTTCCTACATGCAATGAGATCATATTTTTCATACTAACATTAATATTTTCTACTTTGGAGGTGGA